GGGTTTAAGGAAACTACAGGTGGGGAGTTTAGGGTAGATGGGGCTTCTATAAGGCTTCTATAAGGTATATAGACCTTCTATAAGGCTCCTATAAGGGCAACTAGCTACCTGAAAATGTCCTAGATTTAAGGGTTTGAGGCCTGGGGTTCCTTCCGGGGGGGCCGATAAAGGGTTCTACAAGGCTACTACAATTGTAGTCTTTCGCCCAAACCTTAAACCCTAAACCCATGGGGTTTTAGGGTTTGCCCTAAGGCTCATGGACCCTCATAGTGAAAGCCCAAACCTTAGCCCCCAAAGCCCAAACCTTCCCCTAGAAAGCCCATAACAGCAATAAGAGCCTTAGGGTAAACCCTAAACCCATGGGGTCTTAGGGTTTGGGGTTTAAGGGTCCAAAGGATCGCCTTGGGAGGGTCCGGAATCTCCTAGAAAGAGCTCGTGTTTAGTTTCTCTTAGAAACCCAAAACCCAAAACCCTCAAACCCTAAACCCTAAACCCTGAACCCTAAACCCTAAACCCAAACCCCCAAAACCCTAAACTCTAAACCCAAAACCAAAAACCCTAAAACCAACGAGCTCTTGGGTCTCTTTGGGGTCTCAGGAATCCTACCGGTTGAGGTTCCCAAAGTCTTAGGACCTTTGCGGCCTTACCTGGACCCTAAAGAACCTACCTTTTTAGGGTTCCTTATCATGAATTATTTATGTAAGTGCTTAAAAAGGTAGGATATTGGGGGTTAGAGTAAACCTTAAAGGGTCCGAAGCACCTGCATCATAGAAGGTAGGATTTCTATAGCAGGACGTACCATTCTGGTTTGGTTAAGTATTGCCTGTACAGGTACTTGCAACCCTTTGGGGACCCTGAACCCTAAACCCACAACGCATATAGTAGCTACGGTTTAAGGTTTCGGGGTTAGGTTTAGGGGCACTTGGGACCCTTTGAACCCATCTTTGCCCACACAACCGATTCGAGTCACTTGAAGCCTCATGCCCTGCAGACGACAAGAACTCTTGGGGTTCAGGGTTTAGGGGTTTTAGGGTTTAGGGTTTAGGGTCTAGGGTTTT